TGCCGCGGGGCACTTCGGCTTGCCCTTGCTCGTCGCCGCCGTCCATTCGGGCGGCTTGGCGGGCGGCGGCGCGGGCGACGGCGCGGCCGCGGCCGCGGCCGCGATGCCGCCGATGTCGCCGGGCGCCTTGCCGAAGGTGAGCGGGTTCGGCGTGTTGGCGCGCGCCTCGATGGCCTTGATGACGGCCTCGACCATCTCGTCGACCGACGTTCCGTGGGCGACGTAGATGTCGTGCGCGGCGGTCAGGTCCGGGTGACTCCGGCCGCCGCGCGGGTCCATGCCGTCGAGGAAGTACTGGCGCACCTGCCCCTCGGGCAGGGCGTGGCCGCACGTGTCCTCGTACAGCTGCGACAGGTCGTCGAGCTCGAGCTGGAGCTCGGTCGGCCCGCCGAGCGTGCGCATGCTGAGCGCCGCGAGCTGCTTGCGGATGCTGACGCCCTGGTCGTTGTAGGTGCCGTACATCTTGGCGAGCTTCACGAACATCTCCTTGGCGTCGGCGCCCTTGCTGGCGAGGCTGCGGACGAGGCTCGCGGCCGTGGCCGCGGTCTTCGTTTTGAGAAAGTAGGCGAGCATGTGCTCGGCCTGCGGCCGCTCGGACTGGTCGATCTTGGCCCACTCGCCGTCGTAGATGTCTCCGAAGTCGGCCTTGGCGTGCCGTCCGACGATTTCGAGCACGGGCGCGTGGAGCATGATCGACCGCGTCCAGGCCCTGAAGAGGGCCTTGTTCGCGTCATGGACGCCGCTCTGCGGCGTGAAGATGACGACGTCTTTGAAGAGCTTGTTCAGCTCGACGATGCTGAGGAGCGTCGGATCGTCGTCGCCGTCGCCGCCGCCGGCCGCGCCCGCGCGGGTCCGCGGCGGCATTGTAGGAAGGCGGGGTGCTGGTGTCCTCGCCGCTGCGCCGCGCGCGGTCCGCGCGGGCGCTGGTGGGGCCTGGACCGGAGCGCGGCGCGACGCCGGGCTCTGCGGCGGCGCGCGCTCTGGCTCCAGGGGCTATCCGCCGCTCGCGAGCGGTGGATCTGCTGCGGGCGGCGCGCTCTGCGCGCAGGCTCGCAGCGGTGTAGCTGCGCACAGCTAGCAGGTGTAGCGCGGTGGCTCACAGCGCGAAAATGGGGACATAACCCAGATCAGAGTGAGACTGCGTTACGGGTATCCTAGGCGTATCCTG